TCATAGGAGTCATTAAGCATTCACTTACTTGACAGAGGTTGTAAGAAAAGGGAATACAACTTTAAGACACATCACCAAAGCTGCTATTTTACCTTCCAATCATTTTAACATGTGCTGCCCTGTAATGGCCTGGGGTTTCCCCTCATGAAGCGTAAAGCACTGTAAAGCAGGTATTGTCCATGGCGTGCTCCTCCCAAAGTGAGTCTTGTGAGGGCCTTGGCCGAAACTCTTAAAATAAGAGCGTGTGCAGAATTACCAACAACAGATAAAAAAAAGACAGCAGAACACCAGGAGGTATCCTCAGAACAGAGTCATTTTGAAGCCGAGTTAATCAGATCCTGCTGAGTTCCATTCCCAGCTTACAATCGAATGTGACAGGTGGTGTAAAACAGAAGTATGGGGTAAAGATGGGGAAGAAGCCCCACAGATCCCTGCTGCAAAGCAGCTCTTTGCCATCCCCTGTTTTTTCATCTCCACCACTGCCCCTAAGTGCTACCATTTTATGTCTTCTGCCTAACCTTTCCTCACAGCTTCTCTCTAGTTCATCTCTTTCCAGCCTCTGCCCCATTACACTTGCTGCAGCTAGACGGTACCAAGGGGCTGACGTTTTGAAAAGTTGCTGTAGAGACCAGCTTTGCCATGGGAGGGACAGTCCTTGTCCTCTGGCTTCGCAAAGGCGCGCTAGTAGGTAGCTGAACATCTGCCAGAGGTCTCCTCCTCAGAAGCCTCTCCCAGCAGGGTTATGGCGGGAGCCCACCGTTGCAGCGGTTCTCAGAGCCCGGCAGCGAGGCCAGCAGCCGTGGGCGAGGGGACGGAAGCAGGCGCCTTCGCCTCCCCCCCCAGCGCTTGCGAGGGGCTGCCTGCTGGCCTCGCTGGCCGCGAGGAGAACCTCCCAGGCCTTCACATCATTGTTTCTGGCACTTGGAAGGGGTCTGCCAAAGAGGTTCTTTCACACTACTCAAAAGGGCAGTTTGAAAGCATCAAGTTTCCTCATGAGCAAGATACCTAGGCAACACACCTCCTAAATCTTGTTCTTCTACCTTTTCCAGAGTCTCTTAGGTTCCTCTCTTCTCCTAAAACTGGGAGGGTAAATGACAGCAAAAGGTCAGAAGACACAAGCTAAAAAAATAACACAAGCCAGCAAAAGATCCTAAAATATTAAACCTCTTTCAAGAGAATGCAGCCTGCAAAAAAATCAAACCACAAAGAAATGGCTATTACTTTTCCTATTTTGAAGCTGCTTCTCTGGGGATGCTGGACACACAAAATCCTGACGGTCAATAGCAACAAACACAGAAATTTCCATGCACAAATCCCATTAATTCCACCGAAATTATAACACATGAGCAAGGAGGAAAAAAAGCCAGAATACAGGTACTCAGATACTATAAATTCAAAGTAAACACGACAGATACTATAATAAACATTAAGAAATCTTTGATAAAAAGATTTTTTTTTTTTTCTGAAGGGTACTTTCTATCACCTTTAAGTCTCCAGTTCCCCACAATCAAAAATGAGTGCAACAAAAATGTAGGAGACATAAACCAAAATAATACATAGGATCATCATGTAGGTACTATCTTACCACACTTCCTTCTTAAATACCTTCCAGTGCAGTTAATATTTTGAAACGTTCTCTGTGGGAAAAATAGCCTAAGAAGGAAAGGAAATACTGCTTGCCTCTTTCACCATTGGAGATGCCCCATGATTACAAGAGTCCTTCTGACAGCTTCTCAAAGGCAAGATGGTTAACAACGTGAAATGCAAGTACAGAATTATCTCAGTCTCTAAATTGCCGAATGTGAAGGAGGGGAAGCATAAATTAGTAGAGTAATAGAAAAAAAAGCTTGCGATTTTCTACCTTCCCTTTTTCTGCAACAGAAACTTACCTGCTTTGTTTTTCTGTGGACTGAACAGGCCAACACATAAGAAATCAGTTCTAGGCTTTCTCTTTTCATACGTAGAGATAAGTTTGCTTAAAAAACAAAACAGAACAGAAAAACAAAAGCACCAACCAACCAAACCCCAAAACCCTGACAAGACCAAAAACCACCAAACAAACTCCCCCCCACTCCAAAACTAAACAGCACCTCCATACAAACACACAGTGGTAGATACATTTTCAATCTTTTTGTTTTTTTGGCCCTAAAGACACACAAAATTTGATCAGCTGGCAATGACTCTTATGGAAGAGAAATGAGCTCGTGGGTGTGAATCAGTAAGAATACCTCCCTCTCAGCAACAAAGCTATCCCAGGCAATGATGCCATATTTCCATTAGCTGACAAAATTAAGCTACTGAAGGCTTGCGCATGTGCCTGTGTTTTGCTTTTTAAAAGTGCTCTTAAACATTCCAGCTAACAGTGCCAGTGCATATTCATTTGATGAAGTGGTCATAGACCTTGAGAATGAGGAGTTATATCACTTCATTAATTTCCACTTGTCTTCTGGGAGCATGCACATCTAATAGGACAAAATATGTTTGCAGCATAATGCACTTGTGATATTCTCAATTATGGCAGGTTGCTAAGACTTTGCAGCAGAAGTGTAAATCAGGGTGGCATGAAGATACCTAGTTTTATTAAGCAGTGAGTTTCAGGGAAGAAGCCATCCAGTTTCTCTGACAACCTTGCTTCTAAGAACACATCCTAATTCAGAAGACATGGGCAATTCTGAGAAAGGTAGCAAATGCAGAAAAAGTTTTGTTGGAAACATATTTAAAGTCAGTAAACCCTAATGGACACCTCCAGAAAGTTTTAAAGCTACAAAGCATTAATCAAAGAAAAGGATTGGGATTCATCAAATGTTTACAAGTAAATAAGAGAAAATCAGAATGCAATTAATCAGGGCATTGAGACCACTGTTAAAGAAAAGATGTCAGACACCAGAGACCGTGGTTTGACTACAGTCTCTGTGTTTTTCTACTAACTGTGGGCATGGTGAGCCAGCCTTGGATAGAAGGTAGTTTGAATTCTTTGTCACCATCTCAAGTTTAGACAATGAAAAACAGTGGGCAGATGGAAAGTGACTTTTGTGAACCCCACTAAAAACTCACCATTGACATCATACATGATGTTTTGAGGCAGTCAGTGAGGCATAACTGACCTTGTAGTTAATAGAAATTATATACCTAGCAGGTTTTACATAATTACCACAGTACCTACTTGTATTTTCAGGCAATTTATGACCTTTAGAATTTATCATAGATTACTCTTTTAAGGATTTGCCTTCAGATTAAGAAAAAAAATAATAATGCATGACCATCAAAGCTATGGAAATAACGTTCTTATAACAGCACCTCACTTCAGGAGTTAAAAACAAAACAAAACAAACAAACAACAAAAAAACCCACTTAATTTGCAGATGTGACCTATACAGCCTCTGCTGGTAAGCAGACCCACTAAAGATACATCCACTTGTCATCAATTTTTCCATTCCATAGGACAGTGTGGAATAATCTTCCTAAAAGTATCACAATAAAACCAAGCATTCCAGAAAGAAAGATGTCAATACCTCATTTCACAATCACTTTCACATTTATTAAACTGAGCTAGAATTTTATATGTTGGTACAACTCTCCTAAGTGAACAAGTCTAAATAGAGCAGGTGATTCTTTGAAAAACTAATAAAAATTACACTTGGTATTTTTCAGTTATTTGAACTGACATATTAACAAGCAGATCCCTGTAAAACCAGCTGAAATTGCCCTTCTCAGAATCACCAATTCCGAGAATGCTAATTAACAAAATCTTTCCAGCAGGAGACATTCCAGCAGGAATGGAGAGTAAGAAAATCATAATGAGCCACATCACAATTCTTGCTGAGAGTAAGCATTGACAGAATTTGCCTTTCTCTGTAAACCAATACATACTGACTTTTGCAGCCTCAAAAGAAACTCCCACAATCCCTCATTTGAGGATTTAGAGCAGAAACAGCAATTCTACTTACAATTGAGGACAGGGTACAAATAATCAAAACATAACAATGCACAAGCTGTTAGAACAAGAAAGTACTATATCTGGAATAAACCAGTCAGCCACTGAGGGACCAAAGTCCCTCATTTCAGCATTCATTTCAGCACTGACCTTAAAATCCTATGAAACACAAATTCTGTCTCAGAGGAAGGTTCTGTTAACCACAGATTATAAATTCAAAACAGGCAGACAAGCACAGAGGAATCTAATATATTTTAATTGCATAAGCTGAAGAAATGCATTTCAACATACAGTTAATTTTGGTGACAGGTACATTGAAACCAAAAGCTATCTATCTCTCTCTATATATATAATTAATAATACATTTTTTATTTCTTAACACAAAGAATTTTTCAGAATTAACAAGATGTATTACATTGAAAAGCATACCTGGCTGAATATTTGAAGTAGCAAGGAAAATTTTAAATTCATAGTTTATTTTTTGTTGTGACAGAGGTGGTTGTTTTGGGGTTTTTTTACACTCTTCTGGCTCATACTTCCAGAGTAGATAGGAAATGCTATATATCAGCTTGACAAAGGATATCATTGCTAAATTTTAGTTAAAAAATCATAGCAATAGCAAGTAAAACCCCCAGATATTTAAATATAAATTATTTGTTTTGAAAACCACTTAGCAAAGTAGAGGAAAGGAAAAAGTGCATTACAAAATATATGTGTAGATATTAAAACCTTTGGAATTCAATGCTGAGCTTTGGATGCCTGACCAAGATGAAAAAATAAGATCAGTCAAGATGGCCCGCAGGCCAAAAGGCTAATTGGTGCAAACATTTTTGCACTTTCAGTACTGCAGACATCCTCAGAATTGGACAAGGATGACCTGCTCTCTCTCAAGCTAAGTACCAGCATAAGAAACAAGAAATGAGACAAAGAATATTATAAGAATAAACATATTACTTTCACAAGAAGAAAACTCTGAAGAAAAGCTACCATTGATATTTATACAGCCGGATCTAAAGCTTTTCACAATGCATCATAAAACTAAATTTTCTATTGCATATAACCCTTCATGCATTTCAGTATTCTAATTCTCTCTTATAATAGAACAGGCCACTTTAATATCAAGTAAACGATGCCTTTTGGTATAGGGACCAGACTTTATTATTTTCAATGAAAAGGAATGAACAGCATTTACATTAAAGAAGTGGTTAGTAGAGCTCAACAGACACTCTAACAAATTTTCCATGTATTATTCTGAAAGTATTAATTTTCAGTGAAATCAGTTCAAGACACTAATTATGAAGTAATGCACGTTAGGACTAAATCCTCTCTTATTTAGCTCATTCCTTGTTTAGAAAATGTCTCCATTTTTGTCATCTTCCACCCTAAATTCCCCAAGGGTTCCTTAAGATATTAACAAAATCATCATCATCCATGATTCCAATACTTAATCCTTCATAGTAATCTTCAAACTCAGAATAGGACACTTCACTGGAGTTGCTGCAGGACTCTCCTAATGTTTCTAGAAATGACGATTTAATCTCTTCTTCTGTAGCTTTGCCTGTGAAGGTATATTTTTCTATTAAATACATTTTCAAGAACAGTGAATGTATAGCATTTAGGATACTTCAGGCAAGAAACTTTCAAATTTTAGCTTGCAAGTATTTTTACTTGAACAAATTCAATATTCTGATTTCAGAGTTAAGTCATTGCCTCACTTAATACCAGCTGCAGAAATCATCTTATTTAATAGCACATGATAACTTTAAATATCAACAGAAGCATGAGACCACAGTCAATTTCAATGAATTATGAGAACAGGAAGATTTTTTTCTTTAAATGACTGCAAAAACTGAATAATGCATTTATAAACTAAAGTTTTGGTAATTCAGAAGTTACTTCTAATAAAGCACATTTAATGTAATACAAGCTCAAAGCTCTAAGAAAACTTTAAGATGCAAGTTTGCATTCGAAAAGTGTTCTGCAATTTACATGCGCATTCTAGGGACTTAATAAAGATTATACTCAATATGCTTTCATAGCATTGAGGAAAATGGTAAAAAAGTATAGCATTACAGCATTGGAAAAATTGCATGTGTAACATCTCTATACCACCGTATGTCTTCATGTGTTACCATTAAAATCACTGGCAATACAAACCCCATCCTTTCTTCTACAGGTAAAACAGAAAGGGTCAGGACACTACGGAGACTTTCACAATGACTAGTTTGGTACATGGAGATGTTGTTTTAGAAATTGACATACAAATATTTAAACTCCTATTTTTTCAATGGTAGAGTTTAAACCATTTTGAGAATGCTGAAAAATATATTGAAGATATCAACATTTCTTCTGTAAAGGACAACAATCCTGTTGCAGAAATAAATGATTAATTTATTCAGAAGAAACTTCAAATGCTGAGTACATTCAGTATCAGTTGGAAACCTTGCATAGTTTGATGGAAAACAGTAATATGAAAATAAGAGTATCCTCCTAAGAGAAAATTACTAATATCATATGTGACACTGGTCACTTGCACACGAAAGCTGAGAAATAACTGCTTAAATGTAGTCCTACACAGGTATGGAAAGGAACTACTCTGCATATATGCAGTATTTGCATCTTGATAAAAAACAAGTATTAAAATTGTGTATATGAACTCCATTACTATTTATAGTCACATTCCAGATAAACACGTTATAGGTCATCAGAGGAAAAAAAGTTCTCCTTAACAACTAAAATCCAAGCCAATATGAAAACAGTTTGTATTTGCAGTTTCTGGATGTGGTATCTTTGCTAACAAGATGACTTCAGTAGTTAGAGATTTATTTTTTTTTCATGTGAATTACCTGCCAATACTAGAGGATGTTTCTTTGCACAGTAACATTTTCTGATATCTACCAGAGGCACACTCCCAGTTTTGTTGAAATCTAGTTTCATATAAGCCTGTAAGGGAAAAAGAGTTTCATATAAGCATACAAGGAAAGAAAAAAAAAAGTGGAAAGATGGAAAGCTCAAACATACTTAACTACCTAGCACATATTTGTAGAACTTGTGCAATGGATTATGTGAATTTACGTATTTTATGTAAGGCACCAGATACCAGAAAATTATTCTAGATTATGGAGTTTCATTATTTTATTTCAACAGCTTTCACATCAAATGTGGTCCCCTCACCAATTAAGAAAAATTTGTCTTCTCTCCAAAATTTCTTGCCCATCCTTAGAATCAGAAGTCAAGCTGCTTCCCTTCTGCATCCTCCAATTCCTCCATCATTCTGACAGAGGCCTCAACACAGCCTCTACAGCACTGCTAACAGCAGCTTCATTTTCATTTCGAGTTACTCAAACACCCATGTGCAATAGGAGAGTCAGATCCTCCATGACTAAAGTATGATGAAAGTATGTGTCATTTTTCTTGATCTTGATTTCCAGTCGCTACTCGATTGGCTGGTTTGTAATCAGTGTTTCATACGGCAAACGGCCTCACATTACATTACAGACATATAACAAATGGCATTCCAAATATAAGAAGTGTCACAAATATAATGACTCTAATTGTAGGTCTCAAAGGAGGCAAGTATTACTGCCTCCTAGTTCAGATACTGAAGGGAAAAAAAAAAATCTGAACACAACTATAGTGATCTGCCAAAATAAGGAAACAGACTTCTGGAAGAGATAGGTTCAGGCTGCCAGATGCTTTATACACTGGACTGAACTATAAGAATAGCATACATATGCATAAATGCAAAGCAATAAAGGAATTAAATTCTCAAGTTTAAAATTCACTAATTCAATAATGGAACAGCATGCAGTCCTCTAATTTATTTTAATAAACTGATCTGAAAGTTTAAAAAGTCAATTACCAGATGCATAATTTAAGAAAAAACAAAACAAACACACAAACAAAAAAAAAAAAAACAGCCAGAACATGGCTAATAACTAACTCCACAGTTAGACTTCAAAATATCTACACTTAGAATATCTACAACAAAACTTACTTTTCTTACAAACGCTTTCCTATATTCATTCATTTCTCCAAATATGGCACGAGTAAATTCTCCATAGTCGACCTTATCACTATTGCAGTCATCAAGAATAAGCCATAAGGATTCAAAGTCCTGCAATTTAAAAATATTTTGCCAAGGTTCTTCACTATTTGCTAGAATAAAACAATTGCTATAATAGGTAATTACAGTATTCTCGCAAAAAAAAAAATCCAAATCTAAACCGATTCCAAGATTTGTCAAAATAATGCAAGTTAACATCAGTCACTAATGACTACAATTCACATTATTTGCAGTTCTGATAGCTGCGGGCTATCTTTAAAACATAATATACAAAACAAAGGAAAAAGGTAAGTAAATAGTGTCTTATAATTATTTTTAAAAGGCCAAAAAATAAAAAAAAATGGATTGCAATCCCACTTGCATCTTCATGATGTAAAAAGATCGATTGTTTTTAATTTTATTAGGTTTTTTACTCTTAAGAATTTCACATAGAACTGATTGCAGAAATGCCAATGTATCACAAGGAAAAAAAAAAAAAAAGACTCGCAAAAAACAGCTATTAAAGCATAGATTTAAGCAAAGAAAATAAGTTATTCCATAAATTAAAGGAATAACCATGATTACAGTTTCAGCTAAACTTACCCCTTCAGGCATTTCCAAATGGAATACTTTTAGAGCTTCTTTAAAGGCTGCCTGTGAGAGAAAACCATTTCTGTTCTTGTCTACTTGTCGGAAATACTTTCCTAAGCCTGTTATAACCCGAACTCCTCTTTTACTTAGCGTCTCTCTGAATATACCTGAAGATTCAGAGAAATAAAGGACACAAGGTTTACCTGAAGCTGGCCACTTGCTGTGGAGCTGATATAAAAGTAAAGAAAACCACAACTACTTATGATACTGCTGGTTAAAATGACACATCCATTCATCCAGGCTCCCTTAACTTTGATGAGAGAATGTCAGTTCAAACTGAAACTATCAATTACTTACCATTTGAGTAGAAATCATATAAAGCAGCAGCAACACCTAACAAAACTTTCAAAGAAATCACAGAAGGAAGGAAGGAATGCCTACGTGCTCAGATTATAAAACTGCTTACATACCATGATTCAACATACAAAGCAACTTAGGTAATACAAACATTCCATTATGAGATCAGAGTTTCTCCTTCGTTGTACAAACATGTTAAATATGCGTGGAAACAAGAACAAAGATAAGTAATTCTGCAAAATTATTCCAAAATGATATGCAGAAAACTACATCTATGGTAAAAATATTGGTCTTATAAACTTTAGGTAGCAGGTTTACTTTAGGGATGTCCAAGTTTCTTAGCGTACTCTGTTAACCGAAGTCATATGCTATTATTATATCTTCAAATTACTTGTATCTACAATTCTAAAGCAAAATAGGGGGGAGGGTGAAAGAAGGAAGTTTTTTCCAGTGAAGTTCAAACTCAGATGCATGTTAAAAAACATCTTGAAGTATATACAGGTAACCTTCTTCCAAGCCACACCAGCAAACCTTAGATGTAGTCAGATAACTGAGAAATCAATTTGTGTCTATTATGTGAGGGGAAAAGATGGAATAACTAGAAGATTTAAAAATATCCCTAATTATTATTCCAACAATTTCTCTAAAAGTAAATGTCCAAGCAGATTTAAGTGGCCAAAGAGTGCCTACTTAAACCAGGTTTAGCTAATGACAGTGAACAGCAGAGGCTCTACAAGCTGAAAGCTGCTCAGTTCAACAGTTTTTGTTAACCACAGGTTACAAAGGCAATACACAGCACTGCATAAGCATCCTTCCATAATTTTAAACACAAAGCTATGCCTTTGTCCTAAATACTGTAGGTAGGAACCTGGAAAATTTATTTATACATTCCAGAATATACTACTCGATCATACTCACATATTTTAATCATAATATTAAAGACTATCAAAAAACAACTTATGAATGTATATAATGGCAAAAAGAAGCATCTAGAACAAAATTAACTGAAGAAATTAGATTGTGTTTGTACCTTTTGCCAATAGCTTTTTAAATTTAATGCCAGTTTAACATAGGATCAGTGTTATGTTTCAGCATTTTTTCAGAGATCATGCCAACACAGAGATTACTATTTTATTGATTAAATCCACAATTATCCTTTGCAATCTCCATGACCTTAAGCCAGACTGTTTATTTTAAAAAAGAGAGAAGAAAAAGTATTCTTATGATTTAATTATGCTGTACTGAAATTCTAATAATATTCTGATAAATATTTAACTTTTATTTAATTTCATGTATACAAATGAAATCTTTGTAATATCACAATTGTTCTTTGTGTTGATCTGTAAAGACAGAGACACAAAAATTAAAATTAAATGGGTTCAGGTAAACACAAACCTTGAATCTTCCTGAAAACTTCGCTGTCATCAACTACTTGCTTGGAACATTCTTGCTTTAATTCCGTAGAAGCAGCTCTAAAATAATCAAAATTAATGTTGATTGGTGAAATTACATGTAATATTACTGAATTCAAAACAGCTGTAGAAAAAACATATTGAACTTTATATTTAATTCTTATACTACCCTTATAAGCATAGTATCTAATTAAGAGAGTTTGAGATGGCACACACAAAAGTCCTTGCTGAACAGCTGCAGATATGCAGAAATTCCTTTCTGACAGTATTCCATTAGCAGCTCCTCTACTAATTCATTAATAATGGGTAATTCCTCCTGTGCATAAAATCTCCAGAAATTTATTTCAAGGCAGTCCTAATCTCCATTTTAGGTCACTGGAAGAGTTTGTTAAAGCAACTACATTTAGTTACCAACAGGAAAACAACATGAAGTAGCTACAAATATCTCTTTAGAAGAGAAATAGCAAGGGTATAGACCAAAAGCTAGACCATCATATTTTAGGTGTGATCTAGGAATTATGGTTGAATTTCGTGTTTTGTCTAGCAAGTTCCCTTCTGAGAATGGCTTCCCAAAATCCCCCATCATATATTTAAATAAACCCATTATAAAGGTTTATTTAAAAAATACTGTGAAAGAACCTACTGGAAAAAAAAAAATCCTACAATTATTTTGATCTGAATATGAAGGCAAATGGAAAAGCACTATTGTCAACATTGAGCTGCTTGCTCACCAGTGCTTTGCCATAGAGTACTCCTCCTACCTTCTGAGGCCAAAGACGTACCTCTGCTGTCTATTACAACTTTTCACGTCCACTTTATGTACCTCCCATTTTGAAGTCCCTAAAAGCTTGCCTGTATCAAACCATCTAACTGGAAAGTCACCAACCACCTGCAGAGGACAGCGTACTCTCTCTAAAACACGTATAAAGCAAAAGATTCATGACTTGTGACCGCAGGGCATAGCTGCTCCAGGAAACCTGCAATAGATCTTTCGAGCTGTACCTAAGCAGGATTCTCTGTGAGTACAGTAATGGGGGTAAGAGGACTCATTTCAAGAGTTTTGCACCAGAGAATACTGAGTTCAATAACACTACCTGTTCAGAAGAAAAAGAGAGACTTTACAATCTGAAATTTAGTCACTAATGGAAAGAACACAGAGAGAGAGTATAAAAAAGAAACAATCTGTTCCACCACAGGTAGCAGAAAATCCAAAATTATAACCCAGTGAGCAGGTCTTCTTTCTGGAGCCTTCAGAGATAACACTGAATCAACTCCAAATTTCACAGGTATAAGATTAGCAACAAATGAAAGGAAAAGCTGTTTACCAGAACGATAGGCTTCTGAGATGTAAAATGTCTTACATAAACTATCTGAAATTAAACTAGATTGTGTTTTATTTCATGGAAGGAAACCTTGCAGGGATGGAACAATTAACGCTAAGCATCATACAACTACATATTTCTATAATCAATTACATTTGAATTTACTGTTTTATGTACTGTTAGCTCACTATGGCTCCTTTGAAAAGCTTTCAGTGTAAAGGGACCTTAAAGTGACTATTCCCATAACTGAGAACGAGCTTCATGCACCTAAACCCATGCAGAAAGAAAAACAATAGCCAGCTATGCTAACAGAAGTACTCTTTAGATACCTAATGTATTTAATTGAGATTCTGTTATTGCTGTTCCTAGTCAAGGAGGGATTGAAGCACCTGATATATGAGGAGAGGCCAGGAGAGCTGAACTGTCTAACCTGGGGAAGAGAAGGCTCAAGGGGTCTTATCAGTGTGTATAGACACCTGACAGGAAGGAGTAAAGACGACTGAGACAGGCTCTGCGTGGTGGAGCCCAGTGACAGGACAAGAGGCAATGGGCAAACTGAAACACAGGATGTTCCATCTGAACACCAGGAAACACTTTTGCACTGTGAGGGTGACTGAACACTGAAATAGGCTGCCCGCAGAGGTTGCAGTCTCCATCCTTGGAGGTATAGAAACCCCAGCTGGATGCAGCCCTGAGCAACATGCTGTAGTAAACCCTACTCTGAGCAAGTGGAAGGACTAGAGACCCTCTTGAGGTCCCTTTCTATGATTCCATGTTTTTATGAAAATTTCTACCATGTAACATCTGCTACTGGCTAACACTCCTCACTAAAATTTGAGTAATCAAACTGACTGTATTTCTAATGCTGTTAAGTAACTTCCGTGTCCAGGCAACACAGCAGTGTGATAATTTTTATACCAAGATTATATTTGTGCTAAGAACCAGTATACTCACAATAGAAGCCAGAAACCCCAGAAAAAGATGATTCATTCCCTAGAAAGTTTACTTCTGCATAAATATTGAGATGAGGATATTACTTTCAAAAATAGCACATACTCGGAGATTAACCACCTAACCATCTGAAAAAGTTCTGAGAAATTCCCATCTTTCACACTATGGAACAACATAATTTACTAAAATCTATTTCAAAAAAGTAAGTGCAGAAATCCTGTCCCAGTGCCTGAAGTCTTCAACATGTGGCAACATCTGGAAGAACAAAGAATGAATGAATAGAAAAAGGAAGGAAAATGAAAAATAAAAAGAGAGAGAGAAACTTCCAATCCTTCCCCTGCCTGTGTTCAAACACTTGTGATATTATGACTGATACAAGCTCTCAACATAGGCTTCATGAAAGGTCCAATAATAATAATAATGCTGATCACAAAAGAAAGCATTTTTTCCCAAATGTAGTATTTTAATTCATCACATAAGAAAAGTTTCAGTATATGATTAGTATATAAAAACATCTGACTTCAAACAAAGCAAATAAGACAGTTTCTTAATTTTATTAATTCTAATTTTAAAACTACTCCTCATCATTCTAGAAAGTTACTGAATTTCATCAACTAACATCTATTACTAATTTCTTCTAACAACAGCCTAAATACAGATTTTTTTATTAGAAGTATGAGTAGTAAGATGTTAGAGGCTCTTATTTAAAAATCTTTTTTGCTTAAGGAAGGAGAGGTAATTTGAAAAACAGTTAGCTACACTTACTTTAGAAAGTTCATAGCTGCTTCATCAATACTTATCACACGAAGGGTGAGAACTGGGTTCTGCTTAACACTTTCTGGAAGGTTATGATCAACACTTTGGAAAGTTAGGTTAGCTCCCTGTTGGTAAAGCATACAATGACTTAGAAATAGGTTGTGTATTTCTTAAAAAATATTCTGCAAGACTTTCAAGTGATTGTTAAAAACCTTGTGTCCTGGGTTTGAGTGAGTGATGGGGTTTTTTTTTGGTAGTGAGGGAGGGGGCTACAGGGGTGGCCCCCTGTGAGAAGCTTCTTGAAGCTCCCCCAGCTCCAAATCAGCTCCACCTCTGCACCAAAACTGAGCCAATCAGCTGCACCTCTGCAATAACATATTTAAGAAGGGACATGGTGAGGAGGAGATGGACTTCTGAGGAGGAGAAGTTGCAGCAGCTGCGTGAACACCAAGGTCAGTGGAGGAATGGAGGAGGAAAGCGGGAGGAGCAGAGACCCCCCTGTATCCTGTGGTGAGGCGGCACCCATGGAAGTCTATGGTGGCAACACTCGAAGGCAGCCAAGATCCTGTGGGAAGAAGCATCTCCCACTGTTGTAGTTTGATGATGGGAGGATTGCAGCATGCAGGGGTGTCCCACGCTGCAGCAGCTCAGGAAGGGCTGCAGCCTGTGGGAGGGACTCTAGTTGCAGAAAAGTTGTGGAGGACTGTCTCCTGTGAGAAGGGGACCATGCTGTAGCAGGGTGAAGTTCCAGAAGTTCCCCCCCACCCCAAGATGGAAGAAGTGGCAGGACTGACTGCTCCCCCCATTCCCTGCACCACTGCAGGGAGGAGGTAGATAGGGAGCAGAGCTGAGCCTGAGAAGAAGGGAGGGGTGGGGGAAAGTGATTTCAAGGTGTGGTAACGCTTCTCACTGTCCTCCTCTGTCTGTTAAGTGTTGTTGTTAGAGCCTGTATTAAATTTATGTTCGTTTTTTCTTCCCCTAACAAGTCTGTCTTTTGCCCACCACCACAATAATGGGAGATTCATCCCTTCCTGTCCTCATCTCAAATCTCAAATCCCAAACCTTTGCTTATTTTGTCCTTCTCAGCACTGGGGAAGAAGGGGGGAGTGAGCAGCTGTGTGGTGCTCAGTTCCCCTGTGAGCTCAAACCACACCTTGGTATGAAATGATGAAGAGGTATAGCTAAGGTCAGTTAAACTTCTTTACAGAGCCTTTCTAGTACTAAATGAAAACAGCTGCAGGCTCTAAGAGAACACATTATCCTCTACATAGAGTTTTTTCTAGTAGGAGGGTCTACTGTTAACTAACCTACAGCTGAGAAACATGAGACTACAGATTGTTGCTCCCTCAGCCAAGTTCTACTTCTCAATTTTTCTTCCTTCATCATTATGGGATCCAAAACTCACTGGACCATGGAAGAGAGTCACAGAAGATGACACATTGATTCCAGGAGAGCAAAGTTCTCTCAGACTAGAGAAACCATCCACAGTTATTGAAAATAACCTAAAATCATACTTGAGGTGAACAAACAACTTAAAAGTAGCCTTCCCAAAGTTCAAATCATCCCTGCAATGTTTAACTATAGTTATTCTTTGCTAGATTGCTAAATTGATAGATTTCACTAATAAATATTGAATAAAAATACATTAGTAGCATAGAGTTCTATTACCTAGTATAGTCTCTTCTGAGTATTACAAATTCCCCTTCTCTCCAAGCTGGGGCCAGAGGACACACCTCACATATTTTGCAAAGCTAAAGATGCTTTTTAGTTAGGGAGAAAAAGGAAAGGGAGAGAAAGAAAAGCAGCGAACTAAAAGCAAAGAATGCTGAGAAGATTCAAAAAGCAGTAGTTCTAACTGTAATATCCACACAGACTTAGGTTATAAAGCCTCCAAAACCCATAAACTAGGGAGGAGACTGAGACACTGTTACTGTGGGTGTCAACCATTTGAACTTTGTATCAGATTTGTATATCTTAATGTTAGCCCAGAAACCCAATTTGCAGCTATGGAGATTCACAGGTACAACGTCATTCCAAAGAGCTATTGAACTCAGTAGCAGTACATTTTCTGGATGGCTTTAAGACACATCTTTATTCAGAACACATTACCATCTGCAGGTTGCAAAGATACACATGACAACAACAACAACAAAAAATCTCTAAAAAATAGCTTCAACCTCCATACCATAAAGAAGATCATCTATTTCATCTTGGAAACTCTTACATTGTAGCCACATGTAAACAAGTAGGATTAGGCAAGTGGTTTGACAAAATACTCTCAAAGAATGTTGTTGTCTTTCAATACTTTATTCAAACATGGTTTTGCTCTAAACTTAAGATTTGCAGGAGGATGTGAACAACTCAGTGAAAGCACTCTGTACTTGAAAAATTGCTCAGGTATTTATAAACCAGGAACACTTAACCCAGTACAGAAGTACAGCAGTATAGAAGATGCAATACTATTTGTAGTCAGTCATCAGATGAGCTGGTAGATGAATTTTACCACTGTTTCAGAAGCTCTCTCTAAACTGCTAGTGGTAAACATTTTCAAATTTTAGGTTAAAACCAACTAACCTGCAATTTCCTCATGTTTAAAAAAATATTTAATCCACTGCTTCATGGCAAAAATGCCAACAGACCTCACAAAGACGGTTAATTTTTAACAAGTACTTTGTTCTACTACATCTTCAGGACTCTCCCAAAATGTTCATTTTGTCTACAAAAAGCTCTGCACTGTCTGCAGTCTTGTGCCTTCTAGTGGAAAAATTGCAAACTACAGATGAATCATAAACCGAAAATGGAATCTCTAAAACGTAGGACAGCAAAATAACCCAGACTCCTGAAAATCTTTAATTCAAAAACGTTACTGAAGGAAAAGACCTTTGGTCTTCCCTGAAGGCTAGATCACAATTTTCAATTCGAATATCTAAATATTACTTCCAAATCACCAACAAAATTGCCTTCCATTCAGCAGAATACTCACAATGTAGAAATCACCAAGATCGTAAGCGTTTCCCTTCCTTTTTCCACGTTGATGTTGATAAACTCCCTTCTGAATGAAAGGCAAGGCATTTGTTCTGTGAAATAATTCAAAACTGCTATTACAACCATGAAATTTATTTAAGTTTCCTAGATACAGTGAAATATATTTTCTAACACCTTGTTAAAAAGAAATTTATCCTACCTATTTTTTCCAAATTGTCGGAATTCATACACAGTAAGGGATTTGTCACATGCAAAAAAAAATCCAATCAACTCTCTACAAGCATCGCGACCGTTTCTAGAAGGAAAATTGAAAAGCACCTTTATGGTTTTGCATCTATATAAATCCAGTTCAACCCAAACATAAATAACATTTATTTTGGAATATGTATTTTATTTCCAATGTTGCGTATTGCACAGTCTTTTTCTTTGAAAGAGCTTTCTGTCTATTTTCTCTAAAACACGCTGGAATTTAACTTCTGGACTTTTCAAGGCTCCATGTTTTAGTATACCAATGTAATTTTCACTCATTAACTAAAGTATTACTTACACAAGGCCTACTGCATTCATTATGGTATATGAAGCTATGCAGCTGAATCCTCAGCTATGCCTAACAAATATACAGCTCACTGCTTCAGAAATTCTTCATCTCTGAAAGTAGAGTTTATGTTTATGCCACCGCTACTCAATTCAGAACAGTTTCAAAGATGCCCTACACCTGCAAGTTTAATACATAAGGAGCTACAAACAAGACACAAAGCCATTCTTTCCATCCACAGTGGTTGCCACATACTAAATAATTTTTAATCAGCTGAGGTGCAATATCTAAGAGCACTATTTTACACAGCCCCTGTGATAACTGTCCTGCACAGAGCTATGGGTATGATGGTAACATAATGTTACTTCTGGATCTTAACACTGTACAATGGGACTGTAAGGCCACTATCCATCAGCCATGCCAAAATTTTTATTATACATGTATGCATATACATACCCACAGAGCACTTTTTTTCTGAACACAGGGAACAGAAAGGTACTGTGCAATTAATCATTTTAAGAGGGCAAAGATCACCATTCATAAATTCATAGAACTTAAAAGCTTCACAAAATTTGTGATTACCTTGATATAATCCTACTATCAAAGCGTAGCTTGTTAGAGAGCATGTTTTCAGTTAATCCTGATTTGGTCCTTATTCTGTGAAAATAATGCAGCATCTTAATGATACCTATATGCTCACAGAGAAATGTTACATAAAAATCAACTGTTTCAAAACTGCAAAAATTGTGAAATACGGTATCCTTGGCAACTGGCTGAGGAGATGATCCCCTTGTAGCTGAATTAGACAGAACTCAGAGTTGTAATGTAGAAGGTGTTCTGTAATTATATCATATGAGAGTACATTCATAGAAGGCATAGATATGAATGGGATATTTTGTTTATATACACTTATATCAAGAATTAAACCTCTACCACTCACTATTCAAACAATCAATGTGTTTTCTTGCAAAAATACCCAGGTTGGGGCTTCTTTACCCACCTACATATTTTATATTGGCCATATTACTAGTTCCAGAAATGGAGATTCGTCCACATGATGGGTGTGAGAGATTGAGACTGGTTTTGTTGCCTTTTTTTTTTTTAAGAATACAAAGATGACATTTGTTGGAAAGACTTCAGAGCAGGTTGTTAAAACGTGCAAAGCAGAGATGTTTGCCTGCAGGTTGAGAACGATTAACAGAACAAAACTAGGACCTGCAGATGCATTTAATTTTATGGATCACAGTGTTTTCTCAGTTTTTCTTAAGTCCTTGGAGTTATTATTTCAATGCTCACAGGCCATGAATGACTCTTAAATGCCAATACGGTTAATTATTGCAGCAGAAATCAAAACATGGAAGAAAAGTATGATTATATTGTGAAGATCTACATTAGCATTTATGGATGCATATTTATGCAATTTTATGCACCTCAGGATAGGAATCTTTAACAGGATATGACAAGATTGCAAGCACTCAACAGCTCAGAAAAGGCTGGCAAAAGCCTGTGATGAAAAAATAAATATAAGCTTAAGAATGTTCTCCCAGGTTTTATAAATTCTATGAATCGATCATTATACACAGAAAATCCACACAAAAAAGGTCCCACTAGGCAATTGTGAGCATGGGGAGGCTACAAAAAAAGGCTTCACATGAAGCTGGTGGATCCAAGCCAGAAATAAAACATCTGGAAAGGCAAATAGACTTCACAGAGCCCAAAATAATAAAAAATATAGCAGAAAATGTATTAAAAACCAACCAAACAAACAAACAAAACAAACCCCAAAAATAAACAACTGCTAGAGAAAACTTACTTCGTTTCATGTAGCGTTCTTTTCCTAAAACGCATTGGTGCTGTCCCAGTTCCCAGAAGTCCATGAGCTTCCTTGTAAACATCAGCACGCGTGGATTGCTCTGGGTCACTTATAACAGCTCTGACCAGAGAGAGCAGGGAGAGGAGCCCTCTGACTTAGTAAGTTTGAATGTCAGATCTTACATATTCTTACTCAGGAAATAAAACACCCCAAAATAACACAGCAATAAAATCTTGGACTTACCCATTAAGCTTGCATAAATTTGTGGTCTTATTTTTGTGTTTGTTTTTACAAATTCTGAAGTGTATTATTCAGAATCAAATGCATGCAATAATATTCTGGTAGTGTACTACTACGTAGTAACTTTACATGTATATACATATTATTTTAAATATAATTTCAATAGGTACATATAAAATAAATCTTAGGATTACACAATGGTGAGGGTTTTTTCCTCATTTTCACTATTTCTGTAAAAATTCCATCATTGATTATCTTTATCAATAGGTCCTTCCAAAATCAGTAATAACAGTTACTACTACTGGCCAGCAACATCATCCAACAAAAACATTGGCACTTCCTCTCCCAAAGCACTGACTACACAGTCCATAGGATCCCAAAGTCCCATCAAGCAAATAAGAAATAGATGAACTAGTTTTCAAGCATTTTTATATTCTCTGTATCAGTTTAACAAATAAACAAAAGAAGACACCCTTTAAAAATACATTAGATTCTTTTTATGTTATTGAAATGGTTCATGATCAGAAGAAAAAAAGAATTTTGCATGACTAATACAATTTTATAAACTTACTCTCTAAACTTTGCAGACCCATCTTTGCACACAGCAGTTACACTGATTTAATTGCAAAATTGGCTCTACTACTTAAAAAAAAAAAAAAAAAAAAATCAAAACACCTTTGTGTTTCCCTTAATAGATTTTTTTCATGCAACAGTTTTGAACTAATCTTCCCCGATTAGCATCCTGCTCTCTGATACCAATTCGTTTGGCAGTACTGGCACAGTTATATTTGGAACATAAACAGAGATATTTTTTTTAAATGAGAAGTTCATCCTGATGCAGCTGCAACACTACTGAATATTGTTTTGACATTGTCAACAGAAGAGTTCAGAGTAGGAGAAAGAATAAATGGGAAAAAAATAGGCAAAGCAGCTGAAGGAGGTTAAGCACAGAATGAACATCCATGATCCAAGATGCACAAATGTGTATGTTTTATCCAATATCAGTAGGATTGAAACACTTTAATACAACCAGAGCATTTTTAAGATAATTTCTGTAATCATCTGCTTTACCTACATCTTTGTAGAGATATGACATGGGACAATCATTTATTTGAAAATTGAGGATTTCTGCACCAAACACTTCCCTATTTTTAATCCTGAGACAATGACATTTGGAATTTAACATTGTGTTTCATGACAATCTTGTTTCATTCACGCAATGTTCTTGGTATCTCAGCTTTTAAATAACATAAAAGCATTAATAGACTTTTAAGCAATATAGCTCACTTAAACTGCAGTTGGAACAGAAATCAAAAATAAAATGGTGAAGTGCAACAACATTTCAACCTCAAAGTGTTAAGATGTGATGGGATATAATATCAGTACAGATGACTACAGATTGTAAACTAAGCACAGAATGCAACATTCTGTAGACTGCCCACAGATAATTTTTAGCAAGTATAAGGTAACATGAGACTAAATTAACCTACCTTGCACCATCCTATATTGTCATAACCAGACAACTTGGATAAAGACCTGAATTATTAAAGCATGCTTAAAAATAAGAACAAGTTTATGGGAATAATGGTAAGGAAAGATGTTTTTACTATACTGATCCATACCTGTAAGTTACTTTTTTTTCCCCCCTTAACATATAAAGGGATCTTTCTACATAGAAGCAATGTTTTCTCAGAGCTAAAGGGATAGAAATTAAGTTAGGAGAGTCCTCTTGTACAAGCTTGATCAACTTGATTCATCATTGTGCCTCTTCTTCCTACCTGCTCAACGTTGGCATAACAGTCCTTTACTCCTGAAGGATGTTGTGTCAGTATTAATAAAGGAATATTAATAAAGCTAAGATTCTTAGAAAATACAATAAATACTAAAGTGTAATTTGTAACAGCTGGCATTCATATATTTTGCTGAGGTGCAAGAGGGTTATTTCTGAGAACTAGTGCTATTGTAAAGCCCTTAAATTAGGTTCAAGTATAAAATTAAGAATTATTCTCAAAAAAAAAAAAAAAGAATTTACACATATTACTTTAAAGCAATCTTTTAAGTTAAATTAAAAAGGCTTTTCATTTAAAGAATTTTAGCAAATAAGGACACTACATCAGACTGCATAAGACTTGGAACAAGATGATCAAAACACCTCCTAGGCAAGAAAAGCCACACTCACGGGTCTAAATTCTTCTGTCGGGAAAACTAAAGTTTTACATTATAAATACACTTACCTAGATAATTGATCCACCATTACTTGTTCTACTACAGCCTGTTTTCTCCTCTCTGCAGCAACATCCTCCTGCAATGAAAAACTGACTGAGAGCAAAGGAAATACGTAACACCAGACACTTCAAATAATAAATTACCCTTTAAGATAGCATTCAGAAGTCACAATCTTACTAATGTCACAATTTTTTTTCCATCTTTTTGAATAGGGTTCTATTAGCATAACAAATAGACAAATAATGTTCTCTGCTACACAGACAAATTGTCTGCACACATTAGTTGTCAATAAATATGAGAATTCTAGTATTTCTGTGGACAGACAGCATCCTTATCTCTGTATTGTTTCCAATAAATTCTCTAAGTATAACAAAGCCTGAGGAAACTCGCACTACTCCAGGTTTCATGGTTGACACAGATTCCAACTCAAAGAACGAAATTTTACCTCCAGCAATATTTAGTCAAAAAAAAAATTTTAAGGCTTAGTTTCAACACACAATTTTTATTTGCTGCATGCCACAATAATTTGCTGCTGAGACAGGCCAACCTGAAAAACCTTTCAGGAAAGATCATCTTAGGGGGGAAGGGAATTTAACATGACCTTATTATTATTATTTTTATTAGAGTAACACTGAACCATAACCTTGTGTCATTCACTGTGACGTGCTGAGGCGTTGATCAGTATTTGTCTCATAGAAAAAGAAACCAAAGCACAAGAGGATGCTCTAAGACAGCATGGAGGCCTCTGGCAAGAACCAGGCCCCAGCATCTCTCTTCGTTTTATCCTCCAGATTTCTGAACTTTTAAACTACACCGAAATTTGTATTTTTTTCCCCAAAAAAATAATTTTTATATATGAGAAAGCAGATTATTGTTTCTAAGGGGGGGGGGCGGGGAGGATTATGCAAACTTTTTGACAACTTTGTAGGTATTTTGAAACTGAAGAATTAAGATATTTTTCTGATTGGTTATTTTTTCCCACACAGTTCTTGTGTGCAAACCAAATTCTAGATAGATCAAGCCTTCCCATGGCTGAAAAAACACCAAAAGTTTCTTCCCAGACACCAGGTAACTGTAAGGGATAATTTGACAGAGATGGTATGGGTATAATTCACAACCTTCAAGTAAATACTGATTGGCACTAACCAAAAAAAAAAAAAAAAAAAGCCAACACTAGACCAGATAGTGTTTATTCTGAACTGATTTTAAGCCTTAAAAGATTTCTGAATTACAGGAGATAGGGGTCTTTTTAGTTTGCTTTCATATTTAATTTTTGCACCTATCAGAAATACAGGTGCTTTATTCCAAGGTACTTAACCTTTGCCCATTAACTGTCACAACGGATATATTAAAAAGCATTATGCAAAGGAGGACACAATGCTAATACAGAGCAGTGTTCGTTAAAACATATTCCATGGACCCTGGCTTATAAGGTTAAACTAGTTAGCATGCTGAAAAGAACATGATTTTTTTAAAAAAAAAAAAAAGAAACATTACACCTTGATTTTCAATTGAATACTAGGTCACTAAATGTACTCTTCCACTGAACATCTTCTATTCAGCTCTTAGACAAAAGCTCTATTATGAATTCACAAAATTGCTGAGGCAACCATTGAACTTGCAGTAGCTCTCGCTGGTTAAAAAGTAGTAACTCTTGTACACAAAATATGATTATTCAGAGAAAACCAACCTTCTTCCAAAAAAACCTTGATTTTATTATATATAGCATCTATTGGCAATCACACATGTATTATAATGTCCTGAATAAGGGAAATTTCATCACAAACTGCAGAAAAAATAATTCTACTTTAACATTAGAGTTTCTGGTAATGATTACATTAAAAGGGAATTTTAACATTGTGTATTATTAAGCAAGTTTTTAAAGCACCTTAAAATCAAATGCCAACAACTGAGGTAACGTATACTCAATGAAATTAATACGTATGCAGTTACTACTTCTGATTTTTTCCATTATTCCTACCACTATCAGAAGTTTGAACCCAGGAGTACTTAAGAGAAAGAGATAGCCAGCCTGTGCAGTCATGAGTGCTAATCAATAACAAAAGGGCTCCTAAAAGTCCCAGTGGAATCTTGCTCAGACACCTGCTGGCTTCCTTTTAGAGCATGCCAGCTGCAGTGTACCTGTTATCTTCTGGTCCTGCACTGCTGTCTTTCTCAGTGTTTTCAAATTATTTGATATAGCATTAAGTAGTTACTCTAATGTTACTTCAAAACTGTTTTCCATTACCTTCACCCTAAAGTATAGATTTTAAAATTTATTCTAAAAATAACAGGAGGTTATTCAAGTTCTTCATAAAAGTACTTCCTGAAAATATTTTCTTATCATGAAAATGAATAGTGACCTCAGTAGTGCAACATCTGCATTAATTTTGACAAGGCTAGTAATCAAATAAATGCTTGCAGCAATGCAAAATTCAGTGCATAGTGATAAGCAAATAAAATAAATTAAAATTATTATATATTTTTACAATCTCATAAAATTTCTCATGGCTTAGTATTCCATGAGAAAGTTATAAAGCTAACTCTGTTCAACAATAGCTTCAGAAAACAGTTATGAAAGCCATCACTCTGCATATGCAAATACTGCATCTTGCAGTATCAGATCTCAAGGTTCTTCACCATTGTCAATAATCCTAAATTCAAGACTTAGCCTTATATGGGCAAGACTCCTATTACTCAGTCCTAAAAATAATAAAAACCCCATCTATGTAAGAAATGAAAGAAGCATACTGGGTACGTTCATATAAGAAAAGTTTTAATTCCCCTCTACGCATGCCAGTGAGGCCGTACTTGTTTCCAGTTTTCAGTGCTTCCTCCTTCCCAAGATCAACAGGGTTGAGAGGAAACTGGAAAGGATCTGACAGAGGATCAGAGCCAAAGCAAGTGAAATGAGAGGCTAAGGGAGCTTGAGTTTGTTTACTTTGCAGAAGCAGCAGCTACAAGGCACTCTGAAAACATCCGACAACCAAAGTTACCAAGAAGACAGAACCAAACTTTTTTGACAGTGGCCAACAGTATAACACTGAGGCTTGGGGGCCTTGGTATGGATAACGGGAAGAATTTCTTTACATGAAGAGTAGTGTATCACAGGAAGATGTTGCCTAGAGATCCTGTAGAAGATCCATCCTTGGAGCTTGAAGACTGAGCCAAAGCCGCAGCTGACCTAATACCAGCAGCAGAGCCCATAGAGTTTACAAAGCCAGTTCTCATCACATACTCCATTTCAGGAGTTAATGAGGGAAAACAGAGTGTTTACTCTAGAAACAAGTCAGAGTAAGAGCTGATGGAATCATGGAATTCATGGATCATGGAATACAGGCTCGGGTACAAGCTACAGACCGGAGGAAATGTAACGTTATACTCAGGTTCACTCAACTTACTCAGTTAATCTTATTGGTGTGTATATATTTGTATTTATTATTCATAATTTGCATTCTCATTTACGTACATTACTAAAAAAAATACAAGCATTGAAGATAAGATTAAAATAAATGCTCACTGGATTACTCGGTTCAGCTTTCATTGAAACAAATGTTTAAAGTCCCATGATTTCAACGGGTGCAATTACATACTAGGACCAAATCACCAAAGCCTTAACTTCTGTTGAACATTTGGGAAGTCATTCCACAAGTCTAGACAGTAAACAGCATAATACCAGCCAAAATACTTACAGCTTCATATTTCCTTATACTATGCCACATATTATAGGGCTTGCTTGTGTAGCACTGTTGCAGGAGAGCTTTCTCATCAAGAGCTGTAAGATCATCATGTCCATCTTCAAGCTGTGTACCCTACAGAAAAATACATGCTTTTCATAAACCAAATTTAATTAATTGTAAGAAAAAACAAACCAAAAAACCCCACACAACAGATTTTCCTCAACAATATATTTAAAAGTACTTTTCTTTCTTTATTTTTAAAGTGTCTACTTCTTCCACTTCATACTAATGAGAAAAAGTAAAGAATTTTTTTAAGCCTAGCTTTCTACAGAAACTGAACTTAAAAACCTTGCTCTCTAGTCTTTTCTTATACCTTTTGAATATTTACCAGCTTTCAAATGTATTGAAATTAAAATATCTCAAAAATACTGTATTCCTACAAGCTTTGTGAAAAATCAGCAGCAAGTCAGAGAGGGTAGACTGTTAGTATCTCTTTGAAGACAAGAGTTCATCCTTTTTCTGTTCTGCTCAAGAATAGCCAAAAGAAAGCAGTGGACTGGTGATTATGCATAGCTCAAAGTTCACCATTACAAAGATGCTGATTTTTGGCCAGCAAAGAAGTTAAATAGAGTCTAGATGGGGAAAAGCCAAAGCATACTGCTGAACTGGGTTTAACAGACCTGTAAATAAGTCTGAGGGTATTACAGAAATATCTCCTACATGAAGGATATGAAGAAAACTGACAAAGGAGATTGCTTACAGAAGGCAGGAATGAGGAAACTTGGGAAAGAAATCAAAAAAGTAGGTTTTGTTAGCTGTGCTCCTCTAGGAGCAGCTTCTTTTCAGAGAAGAAGTTCCCATTAACCAGATAAAATAACGAGTATCTTGAAATCTAAAGAGGTTTTGATTTATTAATTTAATCAGGTAGTGCTAATATCTAACACAGAAAATTGTTCTACTACACATTATATTAAAATCATGAGAACTGACACACACGGCTCCTACTGCTTAACAAGTATCTTTCTGGAACCCAAAAATCACCAAAATAAGCCAGTCCTCTTTTTTCTCTCCCAGTATACATTTGCCATCTATTTCTTCAGTTTCGCATTAACTTGGCTGCTCCTGTAAATACCCTTTTAATGGGCCTGCAGTACAGCATATAAAGGAGTCACTCCTTCAAAAACAGATGACATGACATGACAGTGTCAGACTAGTACATAAGAATGGAATCATCAAAAAAAAGTAATACTATAACAAATCCCCAGAACTGACAATCTTTACTGCCACCAAACATAAAACTAAACAAAGTAACAGAATTGGGTTTTTCACTCAACTGTTTCACTCACAGAATGTTTACTTATTGGTACCTGCAGGTTCTCCAAGTTTCATCTGAACATTAGAAGCATGACTATAAGAGGGGAAAGCCCTTTAAAACTATCGACAATATGTGTAAAACAACAACAATATGTGAACATAATCTTTGTCTTATGTAAGGCCTTCCCTTTTCATTCTACTGAACGTTAAGCAAGTAAAATCAGTAAAATTCATTGTTATTCATCACAAAACTTTTCTCTGAAAAGCAGTGAGCACATGTTTCCTCAACATCTACAAGCTTAACTTTTCATTTAGATTCTTAAATGGGCGTCTATCCCCAGCACAGTTTATCATTCAACCAGACCTCACAGCTGTTGCTTACTTTTGTTTCCCGTTTCCTTACACCTACAATGATCTACCTTGCTCTCTGCAACCACCCTTCTCCACTATCTCTTCCGGAACAAGAGGAAAGTTTTTTTTTTCACCCCTTTGTTTTCCAGTTTCTCTCCACTGATCTTCCCTTGTTTGTATCTTACTTTTAATTTAAAAACACAAAAGAAATCTGGCAGAATTAATACAGCTTGCAGTCCAACTGTACTGGATCTTATAAAATGTCAAAGCAACAAGTACAGATAATATCTGTCATTATTTTAACCCCATATTCCTTTCCATTTTCAGTGTTAATAGTTCTCTAAGGTATAGATCACATCTTTCACTTCCCCTTTTTTAAAATCATACATAGTCATAATTGAATAGAATAATAATTAATATACCACTATATTAAAAAAAAAATAAATAAAAAGCATGAATGCATTTTTATATTTGGAAACAACATCTTACCAAGATCTTCCCACTGTCTCTCATCTTAGGCTGAAAACTCTTCCCTATCAATCATGCTAATCTTCATGCCCAGGCTAGAGGTGCACTATGAGGGCAAATGTTACATTTCTTGCCAGAGAATATAAGCATACTTAGATTCTCAGAGCACCTCAGTTTCTTGCTCTGAAACAACTGAAACAAACTTCCTACATTTTATTCCCTACTCAACATTAGATGCTGAACTTACACGTTTTTATTTCTTTAAAATAAAATATGGAAGAAATTAATTACACATACATGCAAACCACTCCAAACACTGTAATGAAGTACTGACTTACATTTGCTATTTAAAAAAGTAATTACTTCTCTGCCAGCTACCTTTACTGAAGTTTCTGGACACTGGAGGCGGTCTTTTTTCTTTTCTGCAATTCTCTGAAAATGCTGCTTATATTCTTCCTTCATATCTGCTTCATACTGATGATACTTCAGTGTATATCTGTCTGTTGGGGATGGCAGATTTTCTGGTACTGTCTTCTGATTCAAAACAGAATGCTAAAGCAAAGAGTAATCAATATAAAAGCCTCTGGTTGACCTATTCAATGAGAACATCATTATTATAATTCTTATCCAGTCTAACTTCTGAAACATCTTAACACTATGTTTCACATTAAGAAAAAATGCAAATATGACTGCATATTCAGGTTTAATTTTCATTGAATTCTTCATATGCTGCCATTTTTAAATTTTAAAAGTGCACAGCCAAATGGTTTTACATCACTTTTAAAGAGAGAAGCCAAGATTCAGTGGTTCCATCCTTCAAGATAATGTTACAGTTCACCAAGATGGGAATTTTGACATTTGATTTTGGATGGCTGAAAGTTGTCTGATGGATGTTTTCAATCACTTCTAATACTCTTGGATAGCAGATGAGCATTAGTACTGGGACTTCCTTCCCTAGAACAACATCAGCTGGAAAGGCTAAGTGCCTTCCTAATTTTACGTCCACTTCAGCACTCTACTCAATGAAGGCTGGATCAGTAGAAACAGCAGGAATGACAGAAGGCCAAGATTACATTCTTCTTTCTCTCTCTGAATAACTAACACCTTCAATGTTTAAGTGATATTCCTTTAACACTAACAAAACTAAGACAGCCTTATCTAGCATCTCTACTTGACACATCTCATCTTACAACATCAGTCTAACAGTCCCAATCTAGAAAATAATTTCTCAAAAAGCCAAAAGATTTATGTTCTTGAAAGGGCAGCTTTCTCTTTCAAAAGAGGATCCACATCCCTTCACTGGTTAATTCCTGAATGATAAGACTATATTTAAATTATTCTTCCCAAAGTGACCTATTTTGGGAACATTTACTTACAGAGTCTGTTACTGAAGAAGCTGGAGCATATCTTGCTAAAGAATGCTCAGTCAGGACCCCAGAAGCAAGTAATGCAGAAATAAAGGTCGCTCAGAAGAATACGTTAAAATATTTTAGAACTGCTTGAAAATCTTCTCCAAAAAAAAAGGGAAATTTAAAAAAAAAAAAAAAAAAAGTCAGGCAAAAAGAGAGAGAGGGAGAATAAAAGAGGGTAAGTGAACAGAAGATACATTCCTGAACATTCAGCACTTCAGTATTTAAGACTTAATGAAGACAGAAGGAAAGCAAACAATAGATAAAGGAAAGCAGAGAAGAAAGGGAGAAAGACCCTGAGAAACAGACAAAGCCATACCAACTTTCTGTTAGCCTTCCAGCAGCTAGACAAAATTATATGTATGACCCTTATATTTTAAAAAAAATGGTAAAGCAAACAGTGAAATTATAGACATCCAGAATTAAAAAGACTATAGCAACTCAAGTATGTTTGCACTGCCCACTTACAATGCAGTACAGAGGAAAATAACCTATCTGTAGTTACATGTTTACAGTTGTGTCTTAAGACATGAGTAAATACATAAATACCTATGCTGGGCATATAGACATTCTGAGAAGTAGTACAGTCCGTTATTTAAAAAACACACACTTAACCATTTCAGTCCTTATTTAAATGCAGAACTTTTTTTCATGTTGAGAAAACATTTGTTTATATAGGGAACCATATAACATGATGATCTTGTCAGATTCACCTTCAGCTCCAGCCAGTGTGGAGTCCTGCCATGAGTCACTATATTATTTGTTTCAAGGGGCACAGGTTATATACAAATTAATAGTTATTTTTCCCTCTAGTTATACTTCTGTTTTAAAACACACTCATTAGAGTATTTCTTGGGTTTACGTAAGTTAAATATTTTTGAAATAATGGATTTTTAAACAGTGTATTTTCCAATTCTTCCAAAAAGAGATAACATTGATACTTTCCTGCACGCTAACCAAATAAAAATGTACCACTACTAGGAGGATTTTTACTATGATTATGTATGGTGCATGATTATGACAGAAAATAATCACATAGATAGCACTGTTCCTGAATAACCACGTAGGTAGCATTCCTGAATTAGTTTAAATATATAGGAACTACAAACAGAAGACTACTGTTTGCAGTACTTCAGCATTTTCCCTTTAATTATCACATTCGAAACACTCAAAATACTGAAGGAATGACAGCAGATTAAAAATAGTCTCTCCAATAAGCTAGTTCCTGTCATGCAAAATAAAACATATTACATTTTCAGACCATATACTATAGTGCTCTACTACTGAACTGCTAACGTGTATATTGTTCAGTGTATATTTTTTCAACTACTTTACCTCTATTTTCTTCTGACAAGATTTTTTAGACACCCATTTAACCTAAAGGAAAAGAGAAATTAAATATATATCAATGATCACAAAAAATTGTCACATTCATTTTTTCAATTTAATTTTGATTTAAGCGTTCAAAGGAAAACTTTTCCTGCATTCAGGGAACTGTAAAAACTGAGTAATTAAATTAATTTTTAAAATTGTTATAGTGCATATTGATCCTGAACAGTGGTGTACTGTACTATAAACCAGAATGTTAGCATCTGGACTACTGATTTTCCTTACAAAGCACCTAAGATTAGTGGTGATTAAGTTTCTTAGTCATCCAGGGAAAAAAATGCTGATAGGTGATCAAGAAATTTTAACAATAAAAGTGCTCTGACAAATTGAACGTAGTTTAAGGGTCCTGTTTTAAAGACAAGAGTCTTAAGAAAATCCCTATAAAATGGATGCATGTAACTCCAAAAGTTCCATATTATTCTTCCATATAAATAATACTTACTGTTTGTAAACTTGGGGTTTGTCTTCAATCATACACTTACGGACTACTATCGATATTATTTTTCTAAGTTCTACTTTGTTTAGAAAGATAAACCTAAAGTTACATGATACATGAAAAGTAGTACATTTTTCAGTTTCTTAATAAAGCTAGCTATTAATGTATCTGTTCAAAAAATGAGTACAATTAAAAGGATGAGTGTATCAACCAACAAAGAAGAGCTGAAGTATTTAAGAAAATAGGATCTTTCAAATAGTCTAGAAGTTTCTCAGTAAAAAGTACTTTGCCAAAAATATTTTGGACAAATAGCACTTGGAGATATAAGTTTAACCAAAACTATAAATTGTACAATAAAGCTAAGTATGCTTTTCTAAATAACTGCTAGAGGGACATTTTTAAATATACTTGTAGCAGCAGACTGACCTGTTGACCCTGATGATTCTGTGCATGTGGTGTTTGTAATGACATTCTCCAGTCTGAAGATAAATCTAGAGGGCATGTATGAGTATAACTCCCACTGTATGGTATATAGGAGTCCCCATCCTAAAATTACAGAAAAAAATCCAAAGGACAAACAATCATAATTGTTTTATACTGAGTGATATTTTTATAAACTCCTGCAACACATGAATTCTAAAAATTATTCAAGACAAAATTAATTTATAATTACCTCTTCATCAGAATCTCTCAGCCTCCCTAGATCTAGGCATGGCACCCTGTAGGAAGTTAAAATGATTTTAATAGCAATACATTCTCTTATTTTTCAACTACAGTAAAAGCAAACTTCCTAATAGTTGTTACTATTATTAGCTCATCCACAAAAATTTCCCTGCTATGAACAGTTTCACTGCAACTGGAGATGGCCTACTTGTCAAATCCCTGTTAGCCCCTCTTGCATCAACTCAGGAACTGGCCACTGAGGTTTTCCTCATCCCCAGTTGCAGAGTACCCTGGCAGCCGCAAAGGACCCCACAAGGTCCTTCTTCACTCCCAGCAAGCCCATCCTGACTTCTCTTCACTCCCCAAGAAAAACAGCTGCAACAAGACCACAAATCAGGGGTGCCTTATTCCTGCCTTCTACAGCAGGTCTGTGCAAACATCCCTCTATACTCAGTCACCAGAGAGGCAATAGCTCCTTGGAATCCAAATCTTCCAGACTTTTTGGAAGAGACCAACACATTGGAAGTCAACTGTACTTCAGTATTTTTATTCTGTTTAAAAAAAATGAAAACATCTCCAATTCATCTAATGTTAAGCTCAACCAAATGTAAATTAACTTAATTCAAATGTAAATAAAGCATCAAATATTCTACTCTAAATATAAATCATAGAAAACAAACCTATGATGATAAATTTCATGGAACACTGAGTTACATATCTATACGAATACAAATGCATTGTAATAATGCACAATTAAACAAACTGGTCAGAAATAGAAGCAGACTTACTCTGGTGGGCGAGGACCATGAGTAGCCTGTGTATCTGGTCTCCAGCCCTGAAAGAATGACACATTATTACATACCTACAGGGATTGGGATTAAAATATATAGGTAACTCTTTCAATTTCCCCTGGAATATTTAAAATCAATGCCTCAAAGCACCTGTCTGATATATTTGACTGAGATACTACTAACAAAGGGACAAAACAAAAACTTTCCAATGAAAGCTGATTCTTACATATCATGAGACTAGAAGACTGAATATTCATCATGACAGAAAGATTTCCAGCCATTAAGAACTCAGAATCCTGATAGTATCCACATGAATACTGTATGAATAATGCATTAAAAGTAATCCACGTTCCTGAGATTGTACAATCACTGCTCACAAGGTTTTAGGTCACATTGACCTTGTTGGTTGGGAACCAACCCCCCCAGCCAACCCTTAAACCAAAGCCACAATACCGACAGCCAGGTGGCTCATGTGGACCTAGCTTATATCTCAAAGAAGCCCTGATACTTGGTGTAACTATCATCTGAGTTTTAGTATAGCAGCACATGATGATGACCAGGAGCTTGTGCAATCACACTGTTTACTTTGCATGACTGTGTACCACACAGATCTCCAAACTCAACTGAGCAAGAAAAAAACCACTTAAGCCTAAGGTCCATCTAGCCCGCTATGGCCTTCTGAAAACAGCCAACAGCAAATCCCTAGGGAAGACTGTTTGACTGGGGCAAGCACACAGTAACAATTCCCACAACAGGCCTTCCAATCTGAAAAAAAAAAAAAAAAAAAAAAAAATGTGGCTATGGGATGTTCTGAACCAGGGCCAGCATCTTTGTTTTCACACTCTTCAGCTCAGAGCTCACAGCATCACAGTCTGAACTGAGCAGACATCCTATTTCCAGCGGCGGACTAACACTTGCACGATTTGAGAGCTGTCACAAAACCATAACTCCTTTCTTGCCACACACCCTTGTAGCCTGCTCCTGAAAAAGAAGTTCACAGTTCAGCAACACTACCCTCTAGTGCCTTCAAAAATGGGTATTCGGGTTTTAAAAAAATAATGTCGCTCTCCGGTAAGGTCGCACATAATAAACACCACCACCTTGTGGTCAAGTATGTAATAAACCACTAAGAAATCCAACACAATCTGTGTTACTCTTAAAACTAAATGCAATCCATTAAAACACAAGTATATAATTTTTCTGTACCATTTCAACTGTGATAAGATAAAGAACATACCACATTCTATATGTTAAAGTCTTAGTGTAATTCATTTTCCAGAAGTCACTGAATCAGGAAGAAAGCAAACAAAAATCATTCTGATGACTGTTCACGTTTACAGGATGAAGCACATAGTTTCGAGCTAATTTTAACCTATGATTTATTTTTGCAAGCCACCTAGAATCACATGGACTAAGGAGTCTAAATTTGGAAAACAAGGGGCACGAGAAAGACAAAAAAAAAAGGGATGAGCTATTAGAGAAAAACATGGACTTTTCTTTTGCAACCTACACTAAATGCCCCAAATGTTCTTGCTATGCAGAGATATTTCATTCTCAAAAGACTGGTTAAAAGGTAATGTTATAACATTGATGTGATATTGTTCACAAAAGTCCTTTTTCAATCCAAATCAAACAAAAAAGGAAACCAGCAATTTGGCAGCAAACTCCAAGAATTCCTAATGGGGTCATCCAACAAATAAGGAAGTTAAACGGGTGCTTGGGGGCTGAAGGAAGATTACCAATTAACTTTACTTCATGAACATAAGTACACAGTATCTGTGAGAAAAATCAACTGTTATTAACAATATTAATATTTACCTTAGCTGTAATGTAAAACAATGGCCTCCAGAATTCAAGGTCGTATTTGTACTGATCAGGCTTTCTAAAGTTAGCCTAAAAGTTTCTGCTACAGTGATCTTGTAAGGGCAGCACACCTACCTTATCTCAAAACACAGACTAATAGGAATACCTGGAAAACAAAATTCCCCTTCATACTGAGTGCAAAGCACTGAGATTCATTTTACACATCAATCTGAAATCATGACTTTTGAAATTATGTTTTGGGGGTTGCTTTACTGCTGTCTTACAAAACAAAAACATAGGCACACCTGTTACCAGTTTCACCAACAGCCTAAGACCGCACACAGTACAGGTTGCCTCTGTTGCTCCTAATTGAAAGCACTAGTTAATTCCTGAGTTCTCCACATCCCAGTTAAGTACCCAGAATATCAGTTGGTTCAGCACAGCTGTTTTTATTGGAAATTCTCACTTTCATCTGAGAAGCTGTCATACTAAACTATCACTTTCTAACAAAAATAATTTCTTTAAAAGTTTCCTTCTCTACAGAATGCATTATAACCTCAAACTAAGAATCTTCTGAGTTATGATTAAAGTATTTGTTAAAATGTCAAAGTAAGAAAGGAAAACAACCATAAGCCTGTCATTGACATACCTGATGTTTCTTTCCCATCGATGACAGCTGAGCCTGCCTTCGAGGGGATGCAGCAACTCCTTTAACTCCCAAATCCATGCAAATTCAATGACAGCTTTCAGAATAAACTGAAAAACAGAAAAGGCTATTGAGAAAATCATGTAGTTTTTACAAGTACTTCTGGGGAAAAAAAAAATAAAAATCATTGCATTAGAAAGAATGTGTCTATCACCAATAACTTGCATATTGTCCTCAGCAAGCTATGAAATGTTGCTGGCTTCCCTTTTTCACTGCCTCTTAACTTTCAGTCTTTCTTTACTAATGCTCACCCAGATTCCCGTTCAAATTTGCACCTTTGCCTCCAGCTTAACTCTCTCTTTCCCTTACACTTCTTGATACCGTCTCAATACCAGTACTGCTAATTTGCTACCCCTTGACAACATCGAACCTTTCTTACTCCTCACAGCCGCTCCCCGGCTCTCAGCTGCCCCGTGCCCTGGGACCAGCTATTTTCAGGAAGACGCGAGGGCCCCCCGGGCCCACAGCCAGCCCCCCCCGAGCTCCAGAGCAACGCTTTGTCAGTACGCTACCTCCTGCTTCGCCGGTTTCTTCCTCGCACCCAGTTCTGAACCAAAAGCCTACCGCTTCTTTCCTAGAAATCAGACTCGCCGTCCACAACAGTTTTCAACTCGCCGTCCACAGCAGCTCTACCTACTGAGCAGGTCTAAACGCCCAAGTATCCTTCCCTTCCCCACGCAGGGCCTGCTCCAAGGCGGCCGCGCAGCTGCTCACGGGTGGGACGGCCTCCCAGCCGTACCCCCTTTCTGCGGGCACCCAAAACGAAGAGCAGCCGCCTTCACACAAACGTAGCATCCTCCCACCGGGAGGCACGGGGTGGGGGAAAGAGGCGCTGTGATGTTGAACGCGCCGCAATCACTTCAACACAAGCAACCGTGCAACAAGGGGAGAAATAAACGTGACGGGCTCAGGCAGCTCCGTGGAAACGATGTATTTTCCCCTGGGGCAGAGGCCCCGGGCTCCCGGGTGGGTCTCAGCAGAGCAATCGCACCAAGAGGGCGCAACAGCCCCACGCACGGCTGGTGGAAAGGAAAGGGCCCACCCCCACGCGTCCCCACGGTAACCACCCCCCATCCCCCACACACCCCCCCCCACCCGTTGTCACGGCAGTGGCAGCCCCGCCCGGCCGCCCTAGTCTTTGTCTTGCTGAAAGGTGAAAGCCACAGCAGTGGTGATTCAAACACCGCCCGAGGCAGTGAAATCGCGCGGGGAAGAAAGTGACCAGCAGCAGCGGGAGAAGCCGGGGAGGCAGCAACACCGACCGCCGTCCACGGCAGCTCCCCGGGAGAGCGAGCGGCGCAGCCACCCACGGGCAGCAAGCGCCGCCGGCCCGCGTCCCCTTCCCTCCTTCCCTCTGATCACGTTTGGGCTTGGAAATCAGTTCCAGTTCACTTCAGTTGGCCTTGTGAGTCATCTCGGAGGACAGCTTCGCTGCAGTAATGGTTTTCTTAAACAGTATCAGTTCTCCTGAATGACCAGACCTACATCACTGCTTTTTGAAAATCAAATTGTGTCCGAGTACCAGTTCCGATTCATTCATTCATTCTATCTTGGGGGAAAAAACTCTCACCTTTTGAGAAACAAAACTTTTTGACCAATCAGTTTTCCAAAATCAGGCAAAATCCCACTTATTACAAAACTACTAATACACTGGTGCTAAAGATGTATTTCTGGATGCTGCTACCTCCAAGCCTGTGTGATCTATTTTTAGAACCAAAGACACATCATGTTTCTACACAAGAATGAACAATTCATTTTGTCTCAGTGAGTGACATAGTAATAGTTTTGGTCCCTTTAACTACAGCACATGTCCTCCATAAAAACAAATCAGCATGTTATCTTCCTGTAAGAATAAAGATGGCAAAAGAATTCAGGCACTATAACTGGTCTACTTACAAGCTACACAATTATAAAACAGAAAATTTAGCAACATTGTACTGTCAGACTGTTTTCCCAATTAATGGGGTTATCACAAAGGACACAGGCACCACGTTAAAGAGATAGGCTTATTTTACTTCAGTTTAAAGCAGCAGAAAGAATAAGCAAGGTAATGCACCAAATCGTTTAAGCAAGGTAATGCGCAAGGCAGTTACGAAATTAGGCAATGCATCCAGTGCTTACTATGCCAGACAAGTCATAGTGATTAAGACAGACACATCACCAATTGCCCTCACATTTTACCATCATCCAGATCCATGCTTCAGCTGGGGAGCCCCATTACAGAGAAGGACTGGAGAGTCTTTCTCAGCAACTGCAAAGCCCTACGCATTGCATCCCCCCGTAGGTGTGGTCTCCATCTTCACTGAGAGGGTCCTGCTTTTATACAGGTTAACAAACAAATCTGTACATCTCTCTATATGACAAAATGCACAGGAGCCACCTGGTGGATTGGCTTGCCCTCATCATCCTCTGCTGGAATTATTCCCCAGGCTTGGCCAGGGCTCAAAGGGCAACCAAGGCAGTTTGTGTACTCAGCCTTGGTATAGCATGTTTCTAAACTAGGAAAGGTCAATATATTCCCATATTTTTTTTCTAAACTACCTATCCCACTAATAAGATATTCTATCCAAGCTACATATTCCGCTAATGATTAGACACTGATAGAACGTTTGGTTGTGAGGTTCATCTAGAGGGCAACTTTGGCTCAAGGCCTGTTGTTCAGGTCTTAGTACTCCACAGACCTACCTCGAATGTAATTCCTGTCATTAAGTGGTGGCGGTTCCACAGGTATGTGCACTAAGTGAACAAGATTAAGTAGAAAATAAAGGTATAGGCAAAAATGATTCTGGCAAAAGAAAAAAATGCTTTTCTTAACACTGACCTAAAACAGCCACTATCAAGTTGGCATAATGTATTGAAAAAGGAACACCTCCCCAAGCCCCACAGTTCTTGAATGATACACAGCAATACCTCTGTTAATACTGATACAAGAAAAAGTGTATTACAATGAATTAAAAGGCCAGATTCTACGGTGTTCAAAAAAATATGAAACAGGGATATAGTACTAATGGGTATCAATCAATTATTAGGTAGCTGCCGAGTTCAGCCAGTGACAGGTTGACATAAGGTTTAAATTGACATACAATACTATACATCATTCCCAAGGAAACAGCAAACTCAAAGATAATTATTTTTAAATAGTGTCTGTGGCTAAATTTCTCTCTCCAAATGAAGAAACTTGACTATGAACGCACCTCTAAGACTTACCCCACACTGCTTTTCATTCCCCTCCCAGAGAAAAGTTTTCCACAAAGAGCTAAATTCATCAGTGCATGCTCTTTAATGAAAAGTCACGGTTCAAGTGCCACCACACTTACTAGTTACAAAACACTTATGAAACATCTATTCTTTATAGTCTTAGTTACAAGATATTCTAATATTTCAGTGAAGCATCAGATATAATTACAGTGCATTATATACAGAGTACAGAAATATTTCTTTAGGAAAAAAAATAAATAGAAAAAAATATGTAAACATCCCGAGTGAAATTCTGCTGCCACTGAAGTCACTTACAGAACCATCATAAATATGAGCACAGGCAGTATTTCACCCCTCTTTTTAAAGCATATAGCAGTGCACATAACTTCACTCAAAACAGTTTAAAGTGCATACAACATTATAAAAAAAAATAATTCATAAGCTTTTGAAAGTTTTGCATATACAGATTTCATTCATATCTATTACGTCTCCTCAACCCGATCTCTTCTGATTCAATGGCATCTTTGTTTATCATTTCTTGGTCTTCTACCACCTCTGGCTCAAACTGATGTACTTCATTTTCATCATATAATTCATGCTCTTCTATTTTGTAAGCACTATCAATATCCTCAAGCAAATCTTCATTACTGTCATCTTCTCCGTCATCCATTTCCTTCTCTTGAGAATGTTCAGCAAATGACTGAATGAGATCTTCAAGTTTCTCATTACAAATGTGGCTGACATCTTATAATTCACCCCAAAAAAATCAAAAGGAAAGTACAAATTACTAGAAAGGCTCCAAATTTCAGGGTCAGTTTAGAAGTAGAATATTTTTTTTTTATTTATTTTTTATTAAGACTCCACTAATGCAAAAATTCCCCAAATTTCTAGTGAACCAACCTTAACATTTAATATTTCTCTGGGACTACTATGCCCTTCTTGGAAGTCTCCAGTTAAAACTAATATACAATTTGCTGTTTAGTACTTTATGCAAGCATTACCCACAGCCTCAGAGGTCCCCATCTACAAATCCTCAGACTAAAGTTAGTCCAATACTGACAGACTGCTTAGGAACTCAAGAAGCCTGTTTAAACAAAGCAGAACATAACTGCGTGGTCTATCCGAGTTCAACGTCTTTTAGTACCTATTCTTAAAAAAAAAAATCATGATGTATCAAAAACTTGAAATTAGATATACGTCAAACAGGAAGAATAGTACTCCTCCAGAATAAAATTAATTTTACACACATTACATAAGATGCAGGAACTAAACATTATTATCGGAAGATCTGTTTATCCTTTCAAAATATAAACTAGTTATCTATCCTGCTGGAAATCAAAGTACCTTTCATCTTGTTTTCTGATTTATCCAATCCACTTTCTTTCATCAGTCGTCTAATTGATTGGAGCTGTGTCATTATTTCATCTTTCTGCTCACAAGCTAAAGCATTAACACTAGAAAAAAAGACAGATGTCAACAGCTGAAAGATTACCTTGCAAGTGAGTGCTTGATCATAATGCACAAGACTGCGGTATTTCCTTCCATGGATGAATACCATAGTTAAAGTTAGCAGCACGTTTAGGTCAAGCTTTTCTTTGACAACTATCTCTTGAAAAGTGGGGAGCCACCACATATACCTACTGAATAATCTAATCACCGAGTTCTAACATTGGAGCTCCAGTGGCCAAGGCTGAGTAATGACTACTGAAAGAAACAATTATCCAAAGTAATTTTACTTTTAGTACAGCAAAGCCTAATACAGAAGTTTACAGTTTAGAGGCTTTCTTCTTTTATTTCAGATTTTGTTTACTCTCTTTCCTCTCCATCACTACTAGAAATTTGCTAGGCAAACTGATCAGTGAATTTGCTGCTTAATAGTTCAAAAGTACACTAAAGGAACAATCATGAAATTCTGCACGTTTTAAGCTAGGCTTCATGAAGGATGTCAGTCTACAGAAAATGGACTGAATGGATATTTATTTCTAGTAGACAGGTAAGGGCCTACCTTCTTAAGAACATCTCTAAAATTCCCTTGTTACACTACAACAGAGAAGTTATTTTTCCCAGAACACACACAATCACTTAACACGTTCACTTCAAAACACAAAAATAAGCAGCTATACCTTGATAATTAGTTTGGTCTTCTAATTATATCAAAAGGAAGAAACTCTTTCTGCTACCAGAAATCTAACTCCCACACAGGCTTTTAAATGCCACTGAGCTCAAGTGTTTTTTTCAGTATTAAGTCTCCTCTGTCAATATTAAAGTTTAACTTGTTAAACCACAGTAATGCGATCGTAAGTCTGAGCTTTTGCATTTATGTTTGGTGAACAAGAGACAGGAGGTGTCTGTGGATCGCAAATTGCGGAAGAGATACTACCTGCAAAAGGCCATAGAAACAGTAAGCAATTAAAGAAGGTTCTTAAACACTGTTCCTTACCTACATATAAGGAACTTTTTAAGAACTATTTGTTAACATTTTGGAGGATTTAAATTTACAGAAAACAATACTGAGATGTTTTAGAAACACTCACCAGTTTGACAGTGGATCCAGCTGAGTCAATAAAGAATTTAACATTTTCTCTGTCTGTGCTAGATGCTGCTCCAGTTCTAAAAGCTGATGCTCTAACAAAAAACAAAAGGGGGAAAAAAAATAAAGAGGGGGACGAGGGAGGG